AGAGATACTTGAGAAGTTCAACTTGTTGGAATGTAACTTTTCTCACGATCCAATGGTGCCTGGAGTAATCTAAGACGGGTGATGGGGTTCTAGTAAATGCTAGTGAGTATAGGCAGCTTATTGGAAGCCTGCTTTATGCTACAACAACTCGTCCTGATCTAATGTATTCACTATTCAGTATGTTTGCTTAGCAGGTTTATGGGAACTCCAACAAGACAGCACATGCTTGCTGCCAAAAGAGTTTTAAGGCATCTAAAAGGCACTATGGGATATGAAAATTGGTATCAAAAGAAGGTGGATTACTGGGTTTACAGGCTCATATTATGTAGGTGATGTTGATGATATGAAGAGCACCAGTGGATATGTCTTCTTCCTTGATGTTGGAGTTGTTTCCTGGGCTTTCAAGAAGCAGCCAGTGGTCACACTATCGACTACAGAGGCTGAGTTTGTTGCAGCTGCTTATTTTGCAGCCCAATGCATGTGGTTAAGGAGAATCTTAGAGTAGATGAATTGGGGCAGCAGTGTGGAAGGAGCAACCAGAGTGACGTGTGACAACAATTCAGCTATCAAGCTATCTAAAAACCCAGTTCTGCATGGTAGGAGTAAACATATTGATGTCAGGTTTCTTTTCCTAAGGAATTTGGTGAAGGATCAAGTTCTGGAGTTTGTGCATTGTGGCACAAGTAAGCAGGTAGCTGGCGTGATGACAAAGGCCTTGAAACTTGAAGCATTTCAGCTGCTAAGGAATCAACTTGGTATGTGTGATGTCGCTGAAGTGGAGATGAAGAATTATGAACTGAAGACTGCTAAGGAACTTCAAGTCAGGCAAGGATGTTGAAGCTTGGATTCAAATCGATGCTGGAGAGGAGCGAAGGCTGAAGTAGCGCGAAGACTGTTTCAATTCAAATAAAGACCTTTTTGGTCAAATGTCTTGTTTAGTCCTTTCTTTATGTGTAAAGTGTCAGTGAGGTCCAATTGTTAGTGATAGCTAGAAACAAGGGTTAGTTTGTTAGTTGCTGAGTTTCAGGAGTCGTGGGATTGAGGGTTTGTTGCTGAATGCCGAGTCTGGAGGCCGAGCTAGAGAGTATTTATTGGTTTCTTTGGTTAATCATTAAATTATCAGTTTTCACTAAAGATTAAGCTTCCACAATAACTGATGGTGCACAATTGGGAGAAGAGCGACACCGAGGTGATCCATGGAGGACGGGGGAATAACAGAATGAAGAAGTGAAGACGGGTGAGAGAGGCGACAAAAGAGGACATGTGTTGGGTGAGTTCACGAGACTTGACAAGTATGCATGTGAAAGGGGAGTTCATGAGGGAAAAGGCGACAAAAAAGGGTATATGTTAGAGGTACTCACCAATCCAATTGGAGGATGCGGATTGGTGGCCATGTCACTCCATGTATGGGTTGCCAGGTAGCAGAGAAGGGACTTTTCGCATCACCTATGTGGCATCCTTATCAAAGGTTCAATGATGATTGGAGTGGTTGGTGTAGGAGCTTCGTTCTATTGCTATAGCGAAATTGGAAGTTTCGCAAGCGGCATCGTCAAGCACTCATTTTTGCCAATAACGAGTGGAAAACCTTCTTCTACATCGATCCGGGTTGAGAATGGTTTGGATTAAGTCGTTACTTAGCTCGAATCTTGAGGGTAAGGTTCTTCAAGGGGGATGATTGTTACGTATATAATATTTCTTTCCTTAGTAACTATTGTCATTATCATTGTTGGGTTGAGACTGGGTTAGTACATGGGTTAGTTGTATGGTAGAATTAGGAGTAATAGTGGTCGAGTATGTCTAGGATTAGTCTAGGGTTTGAGTTCTATAAATATGTACTTATGTCGTTGGTTCTATTCAGTCTATGAACAAGAATATTTCGATTTATCTTTTTGTACTTTAGGAGTAGTTGTAACATGATTTGGGGTTGTTCTCGCCATTAAGGAGAGCCACTACTCGAGAGCGTTCAAGAAATGTATCCAAGTTCGCGTGCGTGGACTCTCACCGAAGAAATTCACGTAACATCCGCTCATTCCGAACAAACCCGAGTTGGTCCGGACCTGCCCTTAAAAACGCTCTGTATCAACCCAAATCACTAACAGTCCGAAACTGGTCAAACCCGGTGGAACCCGTGCGGTTAGCCCGGCCGGTCGGGTCAGCGGCCTATTCCTTCTTCTGACCATTTTTAGTTGTACAACGTCATTGCTAGGGAGTGGTGAGAAACAAAAAGCGAGAAGCTGAGGCAGAGCAGCGTCTTTTACCCTAGACTCCCTCCTTCTTTCCATTCCCGCAATCCGCAGTCCCGCCCCCTCTATCTCCAGCTCGGCAGGTCCCCTCCCGTAGCCTACTCGTGATCCCATCAACGACGGCAAGCTCCAGGTCGTCGGGAAGAGGTCGCTAGCTCCATTCCCTCTCTCCATCACATCCAGCCATCCACCCTTCTCTAAAGCTTCATCGTCCTTCATCTACTTCCAGGTAATACCAACGCCGACCGTTCCTTCGGCTGGTGATTCGTGAACAAGGTTCAAGTTTGGATTTATATTTGTTTATTTATTGCTTGCGTGGAGATTCATAATATGTGATGGATTTAAGTGTTGTTGAATTTTTATTATGTTGAACTTAAGTTGATGTTATTTAAGGGTGTTGGAATTTAAGTAGTGTTGAATTTTTTCTATGTTGGAATCAAGATAAGTATAATATAATGACTCTTTTCATATTTTCGGGCTAAATCGAACGACCCATTAACTACTAACTCAACTGGATTCGGGTCGAGCCGCGGTTTGACAAGCTTGCTATGAACAAATATTGGTAATCTCTCTAGATTGTTAGTGTTGTCAATGCAACCGTGCCGCCACTTTTTGTGTTCGTTTCCTATTCTTCTTTTACTCCAAATTTCATACTTCAATGGATTATGAAAAACACAAATCACTCTTTGAGGAGAGCCTTCCCGTCCTTCTGATTACAAGGTACTAAGGTAGTTTACCACACACGTTATATCGGAAAAAATCCAAAAGTACCACTGTTTAAAAAAAAATTCCAAAAATACCACCCAATCCCAAAAAATTCCAAAAATACCATCTTTTTTCAAAAACCGCCACCCCACCCTGCGGTTTACACGAAAACCGTTTGTCGGGGGCGCGGTTTTCTATGCAAACAGCGGGCCTAGGGGGCGGTTATAAAAAATTTTTTTTGAACCAAACCAAACCGCCACCCCACCCAGCGGTTTGGTCCAACTTTTTTTTTTCCGATCAACTTCTAACTTCGGCCGAAACTTCAAACGAACGGAACTTTGCACTCGGATATCCGATCGATGCAATTTTTTTTCATTTCGCATAACTTTTCAAGATCTACAACTTTTAGTAGGATGAAATTTTCAAAACAGGAACTATTTGTGGATATACGGGACCTTGGGAATAACTTTACCTTTACTTTTCACAAATCCATGTACATTTTGAAATTATGATTATATTAAAAGTTGTAGATCTTGAAAAGTTATGTGGAATAAAAAAAAATTCATGACATTCGGATTTTGGAGCACAAAGTTATGGCCGCCAAAGTTTGACGAAATAAAAAAAAGGCTCGTTCGGGGTGGCAAATGACGTTTTTTCGAGACGAAGGCGGGACCCGGCGGTTTACGGCTTGCAAGATCTCAAAAATTTATTCGGATTCAAAAAATGGAGGCCGCAAACTTTTTGAGATCTTGCAAGCCGCATACCGCCGGGTATCGCATTTCGTCAAACTTTGGGCGGTCATAACTTTGTGCTCCAAAATCCGAATGTTATGGTTTTTTTTTTATTCCGCATAACTTTTCAAGATCTACAACTTTTAATATAATCATAATTTCAAAATGTACATGAATTTGTGAAAAGTAAAGGTAAAGTTATTCTCAAGGTCCCGTATATCCACAAATAGTTCCTGTTTTGAAAATTTCATCCTACTAAAAGTTGTAGATCTTGAAAAGTTATGCGAAATGAAAAAAAATCGCATCGATCGGATACCCGAGTGTAAAGTTACGTTTGTTTGAAGTTTCGGCCGAAGTTAGGAGTTGATCGAAAAAATTTTTTTTTGGACCAAACCGCTGGGTGGGGTGGCGGTTTTGGGTCAAACCGCCACCCCACCCAGCGGTTTGGTCCAATTTTTTTTTTTTATAACTGCCCACTAGGCCCGCGGTTTGCATAGAAAACCGCGCCCCCGACAAACGGTTTTCGTGTAAACCGCAGGGTGGGGTGGCGGTTTTTGAAAAAGGGTGGTATTTTTGGAATTTTTTGGGATTAGGTGGTATTTTTGAAATTTTTTTTTAAACAGTGGTACTTTTGGATTTTTTCCGTTATATCCCGTGGTTTTCACCTTCAACCGACGTCTTCGTGGGCGTTGCAGATGCCATGAAAACCCTAGCCCTAACTCAAACTTGCAAACTGCCTATACCCGTCGCTGAAATTTAGTTTAAGGAGCTGAAAAAATATCTCACAGAAAATTTCCCTGTCATGTATGAATATTCTGGTCTTTTACTGTAGTAATATTTTATGCGATTATTATTTTACTAACTTATTCTTTTATTTTGATAATATGCAAAATAATGTCGGCCCCAATTTCTGAATTCGGGCTTGCTTTTATGGGTTATCTATAAAAAAAAAATTAGGAAAACAAAACGAGGAATTTTACAATACTTTAAAGCATCGATGCTTTAGTTTTTGTCTTTATGGTACAACTTAAAGTTGTACTTTTAAGGTTATAGTCCAATTTCAAGGTTGTACCTATACTCTTTTGTAAAATTTATAGTACAAACTAAAGTTGTGCTTTTATGTTATGATACTTGTACACTTGAAGTTGTATCATAGCATAAATATCAAATTCACTTATGGTACAACTTCAATTTGTACCTTTAACGTTATGACTTATGGTACAACTTTAAGTTGTAGTTTAAAACACTAATACTTTAAAGCATAGTAAAAGTGATAAAAAAAAATATCAAATCTAAAACACATAAACAAAAGAAACTCCAAAACGTAGCACTATTTTTATCAATCCTCGCTACTAATTAAAACTCCAAAATCACCAAAGACGACAAAAAAAAAAAAAAAAGAACTCAAAATTACCGACTCCAACATTAGTCGGTCGTTATTACAACTTGATAATATATCTTTTTTTTTATAATTATTATCCTAGCATTCATGTGAGCAAAAGCACTGCCTAGCTGGAGCATTTGGAATGTTGTAATCGACACAAACGCCGACGCCACCGTAACGAACCCGGCAGAGGTCCCGGCAACTGGCATCCCCCGCCGAGCCGTCGGCGCAATCCCACGCCGCGGAACAGTCTTTTGCTTCCGCCGCCATCTTGACGCCACCTTATATTATTTTTTATTTCACACACAAATATAGATCTATTAATATTAAACATATACAAGAGCGCGGAACAAATATAAAATATAAGTAAATAAAAGGTTTCATATTCGAAACAAATAATCATATAGTATACGTGCACATGTAGAATTAAGACGCACCTAAGGAGGTGATGAAGAGCAAAAAAGCTAGAAAGAAGCATAGCGTGAAAGACTTGCTCATCGCTTCAAAACACTCAAAACTCGGAAAGGGTTTTCTTTCTCGATTGTTTGATTAGGGACTTTGTTTAGGGTTTGCTATTTATAGGGTGAGCATTTCCATACGTGAAAACGGTATGATAAGGAAAGGGAGACGGACTAAGGAGAAATCAGAGAAATAATAAGGTAATTATGAGTTATGATGGTATATATTATAAATCTCGAAAAAAATGGGGGTATAAGGCAATTGAAGGAAAAATTCAGGGGTCGTTTGGTGAACAAGATTTGAATCATTAATTTATCGAATCCATAGATTTAGAAAAATATTATGTTTTTTTTTTGCTACTTTTTGTATCATGGATTGTGGCTCCAGAGATTTTAAATCTCTCAAAACTAGAGATATCAAATCTCTCATAATTACAAAGATTCTACATCTTGATTTTGGAGATTTTCTCCCTCATACTGTATCTTTTTTTTTCATTTATCCCACTAAATACCCTTATCAATAAATTATTAATATTTTTCGAGCCAATCTAATTATTTTGGTTAATGATAAACATGTCATTTAATAAAAAATAGATTTTTTTCATTGGATGTTAACAATGGTAGTTATCAAACAATAAACATTTTCAGATCTTTTTTCAACAATCCAGAGACTTAAAATCTTTGGATTGTCTAGAATCTATAGATTTAAACTCCAATTCTCCAAACGAGCCATCAATTTGATTACTCCCCGAGCGGCGTCCCGTATGTAATCTAGTGGCTTAACTTTTTTGTCAATTAAATTAAATATGAACTATATCTCTTTTAGGTCAGAATATAATTTTATTAAAACAAATTAATTGTGCTATTTCAAATGACACATATTACCAGCATACCATAGTGATAATATTTAATATTATACATGATAATACCACGGTGGTACTAAAGTGTACTATGATGTATGAATACATTATTGCATAATGATTGTATACATTAATGTAGGAATATACTAACCACAAATCCATAATTTCCGTCTTCACCACCGTCGACCACCGGTTAACAACCTATACCATAGTGATTATTTTATCCTAAAAATTATTTTTATAAATATAAATATAACGATAATTCATGAAGAACTCATTCCTTCTTTACTCAAATTTTAAAATTTTGAGTTAAAACCAAAGGGTATATACTATAGAGTGATACTGTAGTGGTATTGGCACAAAAAAATTGCTCGGATATTTTAAAAATATAATTTTATAGATCCCAATAAGCTCATTCTATGTAATTTTCTCAAAATTTGGAAATAGGGAAAATAAATAAATAAACACTTTTAATATTACCCTTTACATGTGATGCCAATAGAAATTGGACAGATTTGGTATTATACAAAGAAGATACAGGCAGCTCAAAATGAGTAGGGAAAATAAATAAAAAATAATTGTAATATCACCCTTTACATCCCCATTAATATATGGTAGAGTTTTCTGTAATTTTCTCCATTTCAAGTTTTGTGTAATTTTCTCCATTTCAAATTTTCTGTAACGAGAGTGAAAGTAGGAAGGACATGTTTTTCTTTACAATTATCTATTTATTTCAAATAAAAAAATATCAATATGAAGATTTGAACCCAGGTCTCTTCAAACACGGACAACAATCATAACCAACTACACTAAACGAATTTGTTGTTTCTATTTGATACAAAACATACACTAAACTCTGGAAAGTTAATGACTTTTACATCATGATCAACAAGCCCACTAAGTCTACCATATTTATTTTTATGGTGCTTAATACTTCAATTTCCATAGTAGAGTTACATGTAATTTTATCCATTTTAAAATTCATGCTCTCCTTAATTTTTGCTTAGGTAAATTTGTAATTGGCTAACATGAAGAAACTATTTCTTTTACTACGTGTTGCGTCATTGTATTTTTCAATTTAAAATTAAATGTTGTCCTTTTGTATCTTTATTATTATCTCTTTATAACTTCCTCCAAAAGTCCCTCCATCGTGCAATAATTTGGCCATTTCACTTCCCAGTACAAGAACGCATTTGAAAATTAATCTTCTGGTTTCTCTTGGCACGACAGTTTTATTTTTGGGATTTAAACTAGGCAAATAGAAAATTTCAAATCCGATATCAATCCATGTCGAATAGAATGGAGTTCAATCAAGTAGTTATGAATTTAAACTGGGAGTAGAAGAGTTGGAATTGAGTTTGAGAATGGAAGTGGGGGGGAGGGGGAGGAGGGGGGAAGAAATTGTGTTTGAATTTGGTAGCAGGTAAAGTTCCACTGCAACAAGTGAAGGCAGAGAAGAGGGAGTTGGAGAGGGTAGTGAATGAATTGAGGTGGGTGTTGAAAGATATGGAAGAGAAACTGGAGCAGTTAAAGAGAGAGAAGTGAGAGATGATGAGGATAATAATGAAAATGGAGAGGTTATGGAAGGACATGGAAGTGGACTAAAGCAGGTGAAGGCAGTCAAGAGGGAGATGAACATATTGATGTAATTGGAGATGAGTGTTGGTTTTAGCGAACTTATTACAAGTGCCCCGAGGAAATGAAGTTGTTTGGTTGAAACATATTGCTCTTGAGATTAAAGATAGAGTGGATAAAAATTTGGTCGTTCAACGGAGAGTGGTGGCTATTTGCTCTTTAGGTTTATGGTTTTTGCAGCTACCACAACCTATTTATATGTTAAACGAGTAATCATTGATTTACTGAATTAGGTCGATTCTTTATTCAACCTACTGAAACTTATAGAAAAGAAGTGTCTAATTTTATATCTTATGACTTTGATAAAGTCTATTAGTATATTGGAGATAACCCTAATTTTGTCGTTTGCTCTCAAGTTTTGATGGTTCCTTCTTAGTTTAGTTTGTAGTATATAGTTGACTTGAACCAACAACTCTCAATTTCTTTATTATTAGTGGCATGTTGTTCCTAAAAGAAGAGCATTGAAGCCTTTATGTAGGATTGTGAGGTTTTAGATTCAGTTTCAAACTATATATGGGCCGTGTGGTAATTCCAGTGAGCTTTTATATTATATCTTTCTTGACAATTAACTAACCAATATAATATTATCATTATGAAATGAAAATGAAATCAATGATACATTTTTATATTTTATATTCTTAAAAGATGATGGTATTTCTTCGAGTGTTCAACCTATATATTATTTCTTTATGTACCATCTAATTCGAAAGATTATCAAAAATATTAAACAGGTTGATAGACTTAAACTTAACATAAAGTTATAAATAATCAAATATGAACATTTCGGCCAACGGGCCGAGTTATAAGCTAGTGTGATATATACCAATAAAAATTGGACAGATTTGATTATGCGGCCTAGACCCGTTTTCACCTATCCTCAACTTTTTGTATTAATATTAAGGGTTAATAGCATTTTGTACCCATCTATTTTGACAAATTAACAAACGTACCCTTCTACTAAATTTTTGCACGAACATACCCTTCTAGTTTTAAAACATAACAATTTTACCCTTCCATCTATTTTTCCGTTAAGTTACCGTTAAATGAGTTGAGAAATGACATAATTACCCTTTATTTACCAATAAAACACTCTTAATATTTATTCTGTATATTTTATTTCCCTAGCAAAAGTGATTATTTATTTGCATCGTACAGAGTCCTCCGCCTCTGCAAAGCCCCCGGCCCCTGAACAAGGAACTCCGGCGTGAACAAAGAATTCCGGCGTGAATCAACTCCGGCATCGATCGCTCGACAGCAGCTGGAGCAAGCTTCCAGAGCGCAGGAGGGATTTTGGAGCGACTCTTCCCCTCCTTCACCGACGCGAAATCCGCTGGCTCTTCTCCCTTTGTCAGTTCCTCTAGCAAACGAATAGCAATTGCGCTTCCTTTGCTTCGACGCGACATCCCGACCTCTTTCTTCTTCGTTCGTCAGTTCCTTCGACGATAAGCAAATATGTCCTCACCTTCTTCTTCCTTTGTCTAGTCAGTCAATAGAGAAATCCCCCAAAACGCAAATCATGTCTTCCTACTTGCCTCGATGGGGAAGTTGCAAATGCCGAATCATGTTATTGTTCTTTGTTGGTTGTATTGACTTGATTTTCAGTGTGGTTGCAACTTGTATTTGAATTGGATGGAATGTATATCGATTGTAGGTATTTGAATAACATAATCAAAGAGAGTTTGTTTCTTATATTTTCTGTTGTTCTGTGGATGTGGATTGGAATATGACTCAAATGTTTAGGATTGCTTGAGATAAAGAGACCCATTTGCTGCTGGTGTAGATTACTAGAATGAAATCAATTAGGGTGAGATAAAGAGAACAATTACTTCTGCTGCCCACCATCTTCGTATGCAGATTCCTTTTGACAGTAAGCCAAGACCACTTGTTTGTTGCTACTCAAGAAAGACCATATAACTTTGTTTGCTGCAGATTTCTTTTTGTCAATTAGTTTCCCTCGGAATGGCTTCTTTTACTTTCTGCTGTCAACTACTACATTCAAAACAAAACTAAGAAACCAGACGGTTGATGCATAATATAATACCAAACTGCAGTTCTATAGTTACTTTCTGCTGTCAAATACTACATTCAAAACGAAACTCAAAACCAGCCGGTTGATGCATAATACCAAACTTCATTTCCATAGTTACTTTCTGCTGTCAACTACTACTTTCAAAACTAAACTCAGAAACCACCTGATTGATGCATAATACCAAACTGCAGTTCTATAGTTACTTTCTGCTGTCAACTTCTACATTCAAACAAAACTATTAAACTGTAATCGTGCTCTCTTGGGTGTCACCGTGTCCACTTCATCCTTCTTTGTCAAGCCTTGCACCAACTCCAGCTTGGTTGTTTGTGGTCGAGGGACTTGAATGACCCTTATACTTTTCAAGCCCAGCTATAGAATAACAATGAAAACAAATCATTTAGCTATTGAATGACTTAAAAGGCCTGAATTGCAGAGTTAGATGCGACTTTTATAGGACTTACATCCATGACTATGAAGCCGCTTGGACTGTGGTGCACACCCACCCCTACAAAGGGTTTATTCTTCTTCTTTGGTGGTCTCCTCTCCTGTCAGCTACTGGTCCCGGTAC